TGTGTAAATACAGGTGGGTGAGTTTTATATGTAAATACTGGTGGGTGAGATCGATGTAAATACAGGTGTGTGAGTTATGCATGTAAATACAGGTGGGTGAGTTATGTGTGTAAGTATCGGTGGGTGAGGTATCTATGTAAATACCGGTGGGTGAGTTATGTATGTTAATACAGGTGGGTGAGTTATCGATGTAAATACAGGTGGGTGAGTTGCGTATGTAGATACAGGTGGGTGGGTTATGTATGTAAATACAGGTGATTGAGTTATCGATGTAAATACAGGTGGGTGAGTTATCGATGTAAATACAGGTGGGTGAGTTATAGATGTAAATACAGGTGGGTGAGTTATCGATGTAAATACAGGTGGGTGAGTTATGTATGTAAATACAGGTGGGTGATTTATCGATGTATATACGGGTGGGTGAGTTATGTATATAAATACAGGTGGGTGGGTTGCGTATGTAGATACAGGTGGGTGAGTTATCTATGTATATAAAGGTTTGTGAGTTATCGATGTAAATTACAGGTGTGTGAGTTATCGATATAAATACAGAGGGGTGAGTTATGTAGTAAACACGGGTGGGTGAGTTATGTATGTAAATACAGGTGTGTGAGTTATGTATGTAAGTTCGGGTGGGTGAGTTATCGATGTAAATACCGATGGGTGAGTTATCGATGTAAATAGAGGTGGGTGGGTTGCGTATGTAGATACAGGTGGGTGAGTTATATATGTCAATACGGGTGGGCGAGTTATCCATATAAAACAAGCAGCTATTTACCTACATGCTGATGGTTATTACTGTTGTTCCGAACAGTTGTTAGTATTGATTCTATATTAGTTAAATCCGAAAGGCCATATATACTGTATTAGAAACATTAGCTTTTCATTTCGTAACCTTTTAAGGAAACATATTATGCACTGATTAATAAACAATTTGAAACTCTCGTTCTAAAACATAGATGTTATTTAAACTAAAATTCTCTTTTGTCTCACGCATAATCAATAGCGAGCCAAGATATCCTTCGGGACAGTGTTAACTAACATTGGTTTTCAACGACCTGATTGAAACAGCTAACACTGAAGTCATAATCGGGCTTATATTACCATCTTTAAAAAACACGTCACAAAGAAGTTCTATCAAGTGTTTATTAAACATTTTGAAGAACCTGAATAAACTTTTATGGAAAACAATTATTTTATGCATTTTACCTAGGTTTTAGGGCTTCTCCCCCTTCCCCAGTTGACGCAAGTCGGATATCAGATCGAAGCTGAAGGGTTTACCATATAAGTGAATATATTCACTTATCCTGTGATCTTGATTGTCTAGTTTGTTGACTGCCCGCTGTCGCATGACAGGTGTTCTACTGTGTGGCGTCAGTTTGTTTGTTTGTTTGTTTGTTTGTTTGTTTGTTTGTTTGATTAACGCCGCATATGTCCATTTAAGTGAGGACCGCAGTAGGTACACTTCATGCTTATCATAGAAGGGAATATCCTTGACTGACTTAACACAAAGTGATTGACTGAACAATAAGTATATGAAATATGTAATCAATATTACGTACATGTAAGCAATCATTCCCGCGTCCGTATATTTTATCCAAGGTCTCGGTGATTATTATTTGAATCATTTTCAATGTTTTTCCGTTTAGGTTGTGATATTGAGTCTGGTAAAACCCTGGGTCCGTTCCCCAAAGCGGCCGTACTTAGCGTTAAAAGGATGGTATTGCTTTACATTAAGACTTAAGACCGTAGTAGCGTTACGGTCGCTTTGTACAGCTGGGCCAGGTTATATTTTCCTCATACAGGTGACTGGAACAGAAACTTTTGGCTTTTAAAGATGCAGAATAGATACATCCATCTTCTAAAACTAGCACATGGGTTAACTTATATGATAACTCTGTGTGTGAGTGAGTATAGTTTTACGCCGCTTTTAGCAATATTCCCGCAATATCACGGCGGGGGCACAAGAAATGGGCTTTACACATTGTACCCATGTGGGGAATCAGAGCCGGGTCTTCGGCGTGACGAGCGAACGCTTTACCATTAAGCTACCCCGCCGCCCTTAGCTATATGTGAGTAAGTTTAGTTTTACGCCGTTTTTTGCAATATTCCAGCAATATCACGGCACGGGACACGCGGCTTCAAACATTGTACCTATATATGAAAACAGAAATATATTGGATAACAGGGGTAACATATAAGAATGTGCGTATATTTTCATTACTTTCAGCAACTGGTAATTAGAATGGAGGGCAACGTACTGCAATTAGTTATTCGACTCGTCGGCTTTTTCGTGATAAATAAACATTGACAAGTAGGTGCTGACATTTATTTCTGCCGAGGAATGTTCGGGGTGTAATGTTCGGCGTGGAATGTTAGTCACGGTGATTATTTACTTTGAAATAACGTCATTTTGACAGTTGATGGAGTATAGGTTAGCATGTCCATAACAAGCCTCCTCAACACACAGCTGTTCGTCGCTGTAGACTGTCGGGTGTATGCTGGTCGTAAGAGGCGGCTAACGGGATCGGGTAGTCAGGCTCGCTGACTTGGTTGACAGATGTTATCGTATCCCAATTGCGTGGATCGATGCTCATGCTGTTGATCATCGGATTGTTTGGTTCAGACTCTATTATTTACAGACCGCCGCCATATAGCTGGAATATTGCTGAGTGCGACGTAAAACTCACTCACTCACTATCGGGTGTCCATGCTTCAGTGTTCCGGATGGTGTTGACACAAGAGATAAAAAAATACTCTGGTTGTGTCGAACATCTTTTATTCGAAGTTTCCATTTTCCAAACCTGGAAAAAATAAAATTATTGACAACGTTATAAGTGAATTTCTGTTATTGAATGTCTGATGAAATGTTCAATGTTTTTTGACATAGTTGTGGACGTTTCGGGTGGTGTCCGGTCCAGATGACCAGACAATGTCAAATTACAATCTCTAAAATATTCAAGTAACATTGAACCAGGACGTCGTGGAGATTTGGTAGGGAGAAGGCAAGTTGGTGGCAGTTGCCGCTTCGAACATGCAATCATTTCTGTAAAACCTGATTAGTTACAAACCTTTTTTTCAAATGAGTCTCCCTGCACAACGTTTGTGCATGCTTGCTGTTTGTTTGTATTCGTTTAAAATGCGTCATAATAGCAACATATTTAAAATACTTTAGTCATCAGCCGAGCGCACCCAGACTTGTCTGTGAACAAACATTTCATACAAATGATATAAGGAAGTTGAAATTGAATCCACTTTAAATATGTCAACGAGATGGAATTTAAGTAGCATTGACACTGGACTATTTCGTTGATTGTCAGCTGTACGCATACATGGCGCTACAAGGCTAAAGTGGATGTTGCATGCAGTATTGTCTGTCCTCAACTATTCACTATCTTGGATGCGAGAACATTAAATTAATAATTTTACTGGAGAAATGATATTTGTTAAGAAATATAGGTAAGAGCGCATTTCTTGATAGAACACCCTTAACGCATGAACGTCCCTTTCTTCGGGAAGAGATGATGGTATTTAGCAGCTGTTATTATAGTGAGGAACAATTTTAATAGATAGTGAGTGAGTGAGTGAGTTGAGTTTTACGCCGCTTTTAGCAATATACCAGCAATATCACGGTGGGGGACACCTGAAATGGGCTTCACACATTTTACCCATGTGGGGAATCGAACCCGGGTCTTCGGCGTGACGAGCGAACGCTTCAACAACTAGGCTACCCCTCCGCCCTTTAATGGATAGACAACTTCTTTCGTGCAACGTTTCGGTGTAGATGCTAACGCCGTTATCGAGCTAGTGTCACACAACATTATGCACAAGGAGAAATATATACATGAAGGGCATTAGAGTTTCTACAACTGAAAAATGAGGTTAGTTTTACGCCGCTTTTAGCAATATACTAGCACGGCGGGGGACACCAGAAATGGGTTTCATTGTGCCCATGTGGGGAATCGAACCTGGGTCTTCGACGTGACGAGCGAACGCTTTAACCGCTAAGCTACCCCACCGCACCTACGAGTGAAGAGGTTGATGTACAGTGTGATGACATTACCGGGAATTCCCGTATTTAAGCCCCGGGTTTAAATACGGAAAATCACTGTTCTAGTGATGAAATATTTTAACCATATTTAAGCCGAGGGCTTAAATTCGAAAATGCGCAATATGTTAATAGAATAAAAAAAAATGGGTTTTTTAAAACTCTTTTATCAGGAAACTGGTCTATAAATTCAAAATTGAATGACCACATGGTTCAAGTTAACTGCAACAGCATGCACATCATAGGGGTTAAAAAGATCAATTTTGTCACTAATAACTGTCCTGTAACCGATGTCCGAAATGTTCTGTAAACGTGATAACGTCGCGGAGGCACTACCAAAGTTAAAAAGGTCGAGGTTCGCCATGCGTTTGGAAAGGGACGTCACTCTAAACACCCAAGAATTAAATCTAAATTTAAGCCCATGGGCTTAAATACGGAAAAAAATCCCGTATTTTAGCCCATGGGCAAAATGTTCTGTAAACGTGATAACGTCGCGGAGGCACTACCAAAGTTAAAAAGGTCGAGGTTCGCCATGCGTTTGGAAAGGGACGTCACTCTAAACACCCAAGAATTAAATCTAAATTTAAGCCCATGGGTATGCCCATGGGCTTAAATACGGAAAAATCCCGCATTTTAGCCCATGGGCAAAATGTTCTGTAAACGTGATAACCTCGCGGAGGCACTACCAAAGTTAAAAAGGTCGGGGTTCGCCATGCGTTTGGAAAGGGACGTCACTCTAAACACCCAAGAATTAAATCCAAATTTAAGCCCATGGGCTAAATTTCGCCTGGGCCTAAAGACGGGAATTCCCAGTACTGGTGGTGATTACAGATACTTAAGAGTCATATCTGAACTCGGAAATGAAATGGACTGACCCGGAACAGCTATTTCGTTGTTATTGTTATTAATGTTATTACTATAAATAATAACACAATACGTTATCTTCTTTCAGATCAGTGGGTGAAGAAATGAGAGATCAGTTGTGTTGAGAGTTACCGCTTCGACGAAAGGTGGTGTGAACGCCATGTTGGATGACATAGGGTGAAAGCGAGGCTGCGCGTGACCCCGGTGAAGAACCTGCCGTCCCCGATGACGCTCCCGAGAGAATGTTTCCTCGGTTATCCACTGTGTTCAGGTATGCTACCCTTCTAGTGCTCATCGTCGTCTCGGCCATCATGATCTTCCAACTAGGAACAAACAGTGACGTCACTTCCGAAGAGATTATACTTCCTATGGAAGTGTATGACGTCGAGCCTATTCGTCGGGGAGACATCATGACGTCACTTCCTAAACACACTGCCCGGTCCACCACGGCAATAGAAGATGACAGTACGGACGGACATCAACATAAATCTGCGAACCCTCATTCGTTCGAATATCGTATCAACCCAGTCACACAGTGCGCAGGACAGGAAGTGTTCCTTGTGACTTACGTTCACTCAGCTCCCGCCAATTTCAAAAAGAGGCAGACAATACGGGAAACGTGGGGGCACCATACTATCCTCAAGCGCCATAATGTTAGAGTCGTTTTCATAATGGGAACAGTCCCGGAGGCATACGTGATGAACATGGTAGACATGGAAGCGAACAGGTACGGTGACATCGTGCAAGAGAACTTCGTAGACAGCTACAGGAACCTCACCCACAAAGCTATTGCAGGAATAAAGTGGGTGTCTTCCTATTGCCCCAATGCTAAGTTTGTCCTCAAAACTGATGACGATATTCTAGTCAATTTCCACACATTTCTAGAGTTTATTAAATCCACTGTGCAGAAAGCCTACGGGACTAAAGGGTTGATTGTGTGTAATCAGTGGATTCGTATGAAAGTCATGAGGGACAAGAGGTCCAAGTGGTACATTCCGAAAGAAGATTTCCCGGAGGATTACTTTCCGCCATATTGTTCCGGTTCTGCGTATCTGATGAGCGCAGACGTTGTGGACGGGATGTACAAGGCGTCAATGACAACCCCGTTTTTCTGGGTAGACGATTATTACATTACGGGTATGTTGATACAGAGGCTGAATCTCACTCATCGGCGGTATAACCAAGCGTATATTCTCAATCCGGGTGTTGTGGTGGACAAGTTTAACAACGATAAAGAAAACAGTCTTGTGTTTTTCCATGTCCACAAACTGAGAACGATGTATCAACTCTGGCGAAACATGACAATGAAACACTTACACAAAATGTCATTAAGTGGTTCCGTTACCAAGCCGTTCAGGCCGTCCTCCACGCGATCTGTATGAGGGAAGACTTACCGACCGCAGAGCCTAAAGACCTTTTGGGACCGACCATTCCATAAGGGAAGGGGACCGGTTATTTACAAAAATTGTACCTAATTTCTTTTTAGATACTTCATTCTTTTTAATAAGAAAAACCGCAAAACGTTGGTTGTTCTAACCAAATGTGCTCATCCTCAGCATTAATCTATAACCCTTTCTATAAAATGTATTAATATCTTCAAAAAACAAAATTCACCATCCCACTACCCCGCTTTCGCTTATGAAATGGTTTCTCCCTTAAACGTGTAAACGGCGTGTTTGTTTCTTAGCACATTTGTACATAAGACTTAACTGTATGCTAAGGTTACCCTAAGGCTATCCTAAGACCCTGTTCTATGTTAAGGAGGGATGTTACGTTTGAGGTCTATGGTCCAAAGGCGTTACGGAGGAATGATCTTCTCGTGGGCTAATGGTTATGTGTTAAATGGAAGTTCGGGCCAGAAATGTTTGTAAGATTTCCCTTTATAAATTGCATAGCTTTGAAATTCCTTTTCAAGTACAAAAGTGGGACCATTCCATATACTCGTAGGCAGGTATTTATCCTAAAATAGTTTTTTTTTTTTGGTTGGGGTTTTTGGGGTTTTGATGGATGTCAATATATTTTTTGAACATCTGAATTCCTCGAAAACAATGTTTTACATCGACGCAGGTTTTACTAAAATAGTTTCGTTGATGTGTCAGAAGTTTTGTCCATGTGTGTTTAAAAGATGTGTCAGAAGTTGTGTCCTGTCTTTAAAAAAATATCCGCCCCCTTCCTCCTTTGCCCCTGCGTTGCCACACCTGGATATTAATGGACCGGTCATTATGCATTTGCACACGTCATCACTGAAGTCATATTGTTATGTAATGCAAATGATATATGTATGCCATATCTGTTATTTTTTTAATGTTATTACATTTCGTTTGACATTCCATCGAGATATCCTGAAAATAATACTCCTGTCTCCGTTTACCCATGAGAATGTTCCCTTGTGTCGGACATCAACGATTTTTTTAATTGTTATTGTTAATATCATTATGTTTGGGTATCAAAATGATCATAATCATAATCATCATGTGATTGTTATGAGGACAGTAGGTGGATAACGGTACACTACACTCATCTTTTTAGACGCAATATTTAGGTTTTTGACGTAAAAACGTTTATCTTTATTTTTTTATAGGGCGATTTTCAGAGTAACTGCAATCCAAAATACTTCCTGTTTTTTTCCTAGTTTTATTTATTTTGCTGATCGTGAATGCAGATTTGTCACATGAATGAAACCCTGCAGCCCATATTAACAAGCTGTCGGTGTAATAACCATAGCGTGGTTCATTACACGTAATTCATAAATTCGGTGATGTTGAAAAGGAAAGGTAGGTTTGTTGTAATGTGACTATATTTTATGATGAAATATGTTACCTCCGAAAACGGAACTGCATACGGTATTATAATTCTCTTCTTTTTTTAAAAAAAAAGACGATCAACCCCTACATATCCTAAAATCACATTCAGACGATTTGCCATATCGCTAATACTAGTTACCGTGTTTCTTAAAATAGATCCAGCTAACACTGCATGGTCTGTGTGAATGAGTGTTTTTTAACGCCGCTTCGGCAGTCTTGCAGCTCGGATAATTATCTATTGAAGCAGGGCGCTGTGACCTTAAATGCACTATGTCACACCACTCTTCTCTAATAATAAATAATGCATTTCTCTCAATAATACTAACTATTGGCCCTCCGGGAAGCTACCATATAATTTATTCAAAAAGAAATTACGTACTTAGATTACAGTATTGAATTAAAAAGTTCGAATGAATTAATCCAACGTTGCATTAAATCGACTCTCGCGCTCTCTACCGGTCGAACACTATTTCAACGAACACCCTAGAGTTATGTCCCTTGGAGCGCTCTTTATGAATATCCTACGCGCAACTTGTGATTGAAACCAGTTCGGCAAACACAGACAACACTGCGTGCGACAGTTTTCGATGTATGGAGCAAGTGTTTACATTCCATATAGGGCAAGTGTTCTTTGTTTGGAAGCTGTTCGCCTCGAAGTTTCAATTATCGATTTCAGGCAGGTCTTAAGTGAAAATAAGTCTTTTATTGCATCAATAGGAAGCTAAAGTGAGTGCATATGCCCCACTATTTATAATATAGGCCCAAATATTGTCGAAAATGTGTGACATTGTGCCTTAATGATCCCTGCGCTAACACGAAAACTCCCTTTTCGCCTCCGTGAATGCCTAACAGGCTTGTATGATTTTGTCTCCATCAGTGATCACAGTGTGAGTCCCGTATGTTACATTAACCCCCATTAGATGCTCTTTCTTCAAATCCGAATCATCTTATACGGGGTTAAGCGAAACTAGGTCTGTAAGAAAAAGTTGATTCACCTTTTGTGTGAATACACAACCTTATTTTTGGTTTTTTTAACAGTTGTTTAATTTAATTCTTAATTGTTATAATCTTTTAACCCCAACTCGCATACAGCTCGTGTCAGTTACTGGTTTCTTGTACGAAAAGGCTGGTGACATTTGGATATGCTGGCATAAGCTTCCTATGTATAAATAATAGACGTTATTATAATTTTATATGTTTTGAAGAAGTATTAATTTCATAGCAGTGATAGTTAAATCTCAAGTTTTAAATTCCCTGCCCGGTTTAGTTAAGAAGCGAATACACACAACGCTCTTAATAAATATAGAAGTAGTTTAAAAGTGATTTTAGTACAGTAACTGTGTTATCTCAAATAGTTTTATTCACTGATAAGTTCGGTTAAGAAAGGATTACATTTAATAATGTTTTCAAAAACTATTGATTGTAAAAATGTATAGTGTAATCTGAAACAGTTCAATTCATTTATCGGTTCAGGTTAGAATTGAATACGCAATGATGACACATGATATAGAATGTTCCCCACGAATGTTTTCCCCAATGTCGACATTTTTTCCTAGAATACCGCCATAGAAAACTACCACAATTTTCACTTAAGGAAGTAACCTTACACGTTTAATATGTAACATTAACTACTCGAAAGCGTCTGAAGCATGACATCCCTGACCAGAGTTTCCTCGGTCATCCTAGGTAGTGAATAGATGCTTGCCCACATGCCCTGAATATGAATGTTGAAACAATGCTGAAAATATCCAACCTATCAAACCTCGCTTCAAACCACGGCTTCACGCGATTAGGCTCTGTACAGGTATTTGTAGCGATACCTTGCATTTGGATCTCACTGGAGCGATGTCCAGAGCAATTAACAGGAAACTAATGCAAAAATTACAACACATTTCTGCAATTTTATTTTTTTTCATTTTCATTTTTTCAATTACCTCGATTCCATCTAGGAACGGTATTTATTTAAAGACTATTACCAAGTGATCTACATTTTAAGATTTCATAAAATACGTTTTATTTATTTATTTATTTATTTATTTATTTATTTATTTATTTATTTATTTATTTATTTATTTTTTTATTTATTTATTTATTTTATTTTTTATTTATTTATTTATTTATTTATTTATTTATTTATTTATTTATTTATTTATTTATTTATTTATTTATTTATTTATTTATTTATTTATTTATTTATTTATTTATTTATTTATTTATTTATTTATTTATTGCTTACTGGTTGAGGTTTGAGATGAAAAACACAGAGCAAAATGTGGATTGGCTTGTCAGTGGTATGTGATGGAGCGTTGTATACATTGTCGTGAACTCTGAAGCTGTCGAATGTCTTGCATTTTATGGGCGCATCAAGTTACCGAGGCACAATCGGGGACTCTCGTGATATCTCGTGTAACTCATGGGAAACCACGAGAGTGCTAGAACACTTGGACTCAACAACGACTTTCACGAGAACAAATTCGTAAGTGATTGATACTGCTTAGGCCAACGGAATATCTTTTCGGGGTATGTTAGTCAAACACAGCGTAGCGGATCGAGCACTTGTGAAAGAGTAAGCGGCCATGTTTGAATTAGCCGTTGGTATGGTGATATCAGGGACCATATACTATATGCAGCTGTATTTATAATCATGTAACTCTTTTGTTTAAACTGCACTAAAGCTTGAATGAAAGAGATATTTCAGCAGTTTGATGTAGAGAACGATTATTTATCAGGGTTGGTATTATTCGTTTGACGTCTGTGCCAACCGTTCACTTGCTTCCGTAATGTAAATTCGTGAGTTAGTGAGTATGATTTTACGCCGTTTTACTGATATTCCGGCAATATCACAGCGGGAGACACAAGAAATGGGCTTCACATATTGTACCCAAGTGGGGAATCGAACCCGGTTCTTCAGCGTGACGAGCGGACGCTTTAACAATTAGGCTACCCCACCAATCCTTGATGTAAAATATAACCTTGAAGTACTTCTTATCTTATTTAGAAAAGCAACGTGAAATTTCTCACCCTTTTTCCTTCTGTCGACGTTATCATAAAGTGATCATTTAAATAACGCGTTTCACTGTTTTGTATTTTATCATATACTCATGCCAATAATGGTTGTCACCCCCTTCAATTTTTTTTTATTGGAGAGTGGGTGTGGGGGTTGGGGTGGGGAGGGGGGTGACAACCATTATTGGCATGAATATACATCAGTAAGTATTTTAAAGTCCGTAAACTACAAATTGCAAGACCGAACCCTAACTAAAACAACACTTTTAGGAGTTTAGTTGTGTAGGGACGCTCAGCCATTTAGCTCTCACCAAAAGGAGTATATATTTTTTTAACCTAACCCAATGGAGTTATTATGGAGGATCGATATATCGATACATCAAAGATACCACCGGCACGAAATGGCTTACGTATTTTCACAGTGAAATATGGTCACAAGTTTGTGTTGTTGTTTTTTTTCTGACTGAGTTTTTTATGTTTTGAAAGAGAAATATCGATGGCGATTCCTTTTGTACCTCATTGACTTTATAAACAGTGAGACCTCGTTAATCCGGACACCGTTAGTCTGGAAAACACGCATCCCAGATTACCGTGCGTGGATGCCAAAACGTGATTTAAGAGATTACTGTGTAAATCCTCTTGATTTCAGATAACAGTATTGTCCGGATTGGAGAGGTTTCTCTGTATAATGTTTTGTTGAAATGTAATACAATATATGATGGTTTTACTGTCAATTACATTCATTCCAAAATTACATGCTACTCATGTCAGCCTAATGGCTTTGGCTCTAACGCCGACCGGATATACATAAAGATGTTGCTGGAATATTGCTAAAAGATTGTAAGTCTCTCTCTCTCTCTCTCTCTCTCTCTCTCTCTCTCTCTCTCTCTCTCTCTCTCTCTCTCTCTCTCTCTCTCTCTCTCTCTCTCTCTCTCTCTCTCTCTCTCTC